CCTGCCAGGTAGACTTGGTTTTCTATTAAGAAATTCAGAGCACTGAGAAAATGTGACTTTCTACAGTTACTTACAAACTCTAAATCTAACCTTAAAAAAAATACTGCTTTAACTAAGCACACTCTGAAAACTGCAGAGCTAGAATGTAAACTGTCCTAGAGGGAAATGAAAGCCAGATGGTCAAAGACGGTATCTGAGGGCACAGAAATTCAGGAGAAAAAGGTAGGTGAAACATGGGGAGGTGTCTTCCTTTTCTCATGGCTGAGACAAAATACCCGATACTCAAAGTTAAATGAAGAAGGTTCACTCCAGCTCACAATCTGTAGAGGTTTTAGTTCAGTGCTAGCTGGGTCCAAGGCAAGGTGGCATGCCAGAGGGACGTCAGAGCGACGTGGCAGACGGGAGGCAACGGCAACGGCAATAAGCAGCGAGCCTACTTTTCCCTTTTGTCCCACCCCGGCCACCACCCCGCCTTTTGGGCGGTGCCACCCAGGACTATGCTAATTCAAATCAGTGGACTAACTCAGTACCACACACCTTTATTCCTGGAATCACACGCCCGAGACCAGCCCGCTCCCAAAACCCCCACCTACGAGCACATGCGCCTTTGGGAGCCTTCTAGACACAAGCCGTAAGAGGAGGTAGGAAAGAAGAGTGAGAAACACAATTACTCGCTAGCATAATTCACTCAGGAGAACAGTTTATATTCCACGTAGAAACTAATATGAACATTCAACTTTTCATTGTGATTGTGAATCTTTTCTCACTTTTCAATTAACTTAAGGAAAATTGTAAGGGCTCCCCTGAGAGTATTTCAGAGCTCCCCTGAACGTTTCCCTACCTTTGTACATTTAATAGACGCTTACTGAATACGTGCTGTGACACCGTACGAAGTACTCAGTATACTGTGGCAAAAATCACCGCAAGTATGGCTCCTGAACACAGCTAACGAAGGAGATGATAAATAACCAAGTAATCTAAATCGTGGTTACAAATGAAAAAGGCCACGAAGGAAAAGATCAAGCGTCAGGCAGCCCTTTCTGCAAAGGTACCGGCTACTTTCCCATCCTCTGAGTCAGAGGTAGTCAAGAGTAGGAAGACCAGGCTGCGGAATCAGCTTCACTGCAATGACCCTCGCCTAAACAAGAAAAGACATGCAACTTTCAGAGTCAACAAGATCAGCGTGGAAAGAAAAGTGATCAAAGACAGGAGAAAAATATCCTGAGAACTGAGAGACACATGAGACTAGAACTACAGGGTCTGAGGGGCTTACGTTTCATTCTGTGTGCAATGAGAACCAACCTAAGAGTTTTAAGAAAACTGCCACAGGTATCTCAAAAGCTCACTGGATGAAGGCTGTACCGACTGTGTAAGTACAAATATGAAAAGCCGTAACCAATTGGAAAACTATAAAAATAGATGAACGGTGGAAAAGAGACAAGGAAAAGGTTCTACCACCTTTCTAACAATCACACATTACTTGCACCTAACTTTTAACTATTGCACTTTTACATACAACTACATTACAGAGTAATTCCCCAATAATCATTTCGAATTACTGACATTCATTAAAATTAGTTCTGTGTCCCCAAATCCCGTCAAAAAATATCTTGCAAAGTTTATAACAGAAACATAACATGAAAATGTAAAAACTAAGAGGGAAAGAATTCTGGACTCTTCCGAAATTTACAAATTAATTTTTATACTGACCTTGCTGTCTTGTCTCATCTTGTAAATATGACAAAAAAAAGTGAACAAATCATTATGCTATACTTTATGTTTAAACCGCAAATACTTTCAATAGCAGATACAATTAGAAAACAAAGGAAAAACCTCACTCGGAAAACACTCTCCTTCAAGGTGAGGGACGGACTAACAACTGCATGCAGAGGTCCTCAATAGCCCACAAACTGTCTTCTCTGGATAATCACAGAACAGATATTCACTGAGAGTTCAGTGCCTTCCGGTTACTTTTGTATAAGGTTCCCTTGTTAACTTCATTAAACACAGAAAAAAAAAGCGTTGGCTGCAAAAACCTCCTTTACAGCGGCCTTGCTAGAAGGAAGAAGTCCAGTTTCCCAGATATACCGTTTTCTCTCCTGTTCTGCCACAGCAACAGCGGGAGAACTGGGAGGAGGAGGAAATGGGCAGTACTTAGTAGAAATGGCTACTCAGCAAAGAGCAGGATTCCCCAAGGTCCTACATATGCGGACTTGCAGACACAAAATGAGTGAAATGGAACTGGCTCTTGCAGTACACTACTGTCCCCCCAAAAGCTGGCTCTGACATGAGAACTGACAATCTAGTAACAATGTCCATTACAAAGTAGCTATCCTAGCCCAGCATGGTGGCGCACGCCTGTAACCCCAGCACTCAAGAGGCTGAGGCAGGAGGATCGCCGTGACTTTGATACCAGCCTAAGCTACGTAACTGAGTTCAAGGCCAGGCTGGACTACACAGTGAAACCTTGTCGCAAAACAAAACAGCAGCTAACCTAAATTTTACCTTTCATCATTTAGCAAGTCTCTTAGGAACATTCCTTGATTAATTTCTTCGCTTATTGTGGTAAATGAAACAATTCATATGAATTCTCAATGAACCAAAGCAGTGTCTACTTCCCACCCTAAGAAATCATGCTGCATCCATCCATCCCTCCATGCTTCAGAAATCAGTAGCACGTTGGCAAAACTAATGACAGCAGGAGCCGTCTGCCCCCTTGTGTCACTGAAGACAGCCCTAAGTTTCTGGTAACGACAGCAACTGAAGGAAAGGACAAGGCCTACATCCTGGGCTCAGTCCACCACCATCAGTCAAAAGAAGCTGCAGGAAAAACGTCTAAGAAAACATTCACAGAAAGCTGAACCTTCAACGTGTGTTCGCGTACCTTCCCACTGTCCATCTGAAAAGTTTTCAATTAGTCATTTTTTATTATTTAGTACGGACCATAAACCAACGCTGCACCTCACACTGATCAGTAAAACACTCTGTTTCTCACAGTACCTTTCCCAGGCAGCTACCAACCTTGCGGGTCAGCCACGGCTGCGCAGTTGTGCCCAGTGTACTCTAAAGGTTAATGCCCTCACTGCAACTTCTGATTTTATGAAAAGCTCATGTAAGGACAGCTCAAGAGCATAACAGCATACGGGCTCATCCTCTGTTCCTTCTGAATAAATCCTCCACGGCAGTGGCTGTTTTGGAATAAACGCTTTACAACTCTGATGAACACCGGATCTTTTCTTCAGAGATACGGTGTGGACATGGTGTCACACACTGACACTCAACTGCCAATGTAAGTGCACTAAGTGGAACACTGAAGAGCAGACAGGGCCACGAGTGCACTGCCCACGAATGTATTAATGCATTAACCAAGCCTTACACGTAAAAAGTGGGTTCCTGCTCTTGTGGGACTGGGTTAGTTTCCGGCATGAAGCTATAGAGTGAGGATGCCCTTTGTGTTTTGCTCCCTTCGTGTGCCAGTGTGCCCTTTCGCTTTCTGCCATGAGTTCAAGCTGCACCAGCACAAGGCCTTCTACTGCTCCTCATTTCCCAGCCTGCAGAGGATGAACCAAGATAAAGCTCTTTATAAATGACCCCTTTTTAGGTATGCTGATAGCAAAAAAAAAAAAAAGACACAAAAAATGCACATGGATACACTCATACAAAATACAACAAACACTTTCAGAAGATTAAAAAAGTGCCTTATGCTGATCCAGAGTTTAGGTTAAGAACTTGTTACAAAATCACTAGGAGAGCCTTCTTTTGTGCAAACTACAGAACAGAATTGTAGCAGAACTGTTACAGAGAGGACAGAGAAAGTACAGTCAGTCAAATGCAAGAAAATGACAAGCACACTGTGAAGCCTACACCACCACACTGCAGTGTTCAGGCCTTCATCTGATAAATTATGTACTAGGCAAGGTTTAGAGATCGGACAGTAACCAAACTCTGATGTAGCTAACATGGGTCTTGCTCTACCGTCGCTTACAAGCACAAATGGCAAACACAAGCAATTATGCTATTGAATAATTTAAACACAGACATGACACTAGGGTAAAGGGAATGTATACGAGCACCTACAAAAAAAGAACGAAGTTGTGACTGAACTTCACAAAATGGTTCCCTAAAGTAAAGTTGTGGTGAAATCTACCCAGAAAATAAAGAATCTATGCAGAAATGGGGGCAGGGAATAAAGTTCACATAAACTCTGCGGACTAAAAGAACCATTCACAAGCAAAGACCATGAAGCGAAGGCAAAGTGAGACGAGGCTCCTTATACTACAGTGTTAGGAAGATGCTGGTTCTCTTATTGATAGATCTCTTCTTAGCCTGCCACTTACCACCCTGTAAAAATAATGGTATAGTACAGTCATCATAACACGGTTCAGAGAATTTAGAAAACAAACGTAAAGCACTTAGTAAAATGCTGTGGCCCAAACGTCAGTGATGAGAATTACAGAGCAATCAGAGAACACGTATATTGTGCAAAATATTCTAAGTGGCGGGGTTAATTCAGCTCCCAGGGCAGACAATAACAAATCTGCATCAATATATAAGCTGTTTAAATATTTTAATGATGCCTGCTCCTATTTACCATATAAATGTGATAAAGAGCTAGCTACGTTTAGATTTTGCACAGAACTGTCATCCCTACTGAAGAACTACAACACACTTTACCATGAAGATTATTCTTTTAAACAAATTGCCAACTTACTGATGAACTGTCAGGAATTCTTAAGTAAAACAAGAGGAAAATAATTTCACTTTGCTCCTAGGCAAAATGTTGTATGGATCACCACTAATTTAGAATCCTTTTGTAGAATCCTGTTAACATTGCAGGGAGTGTATTTTTCAGACATACGCTCTCTCCGATACTCTGAGTACTGAGTAAATTTTCTCAAAATTTAAGTATCTATACAATCTCATCTAGGTTCAATTACCCAGCAGTTGAGAACCCAGACATCAAGACACTTAAGTTCTACACCAGACAAACGTGACCTTACCTGGGAAACTAGTCTTCATCACGTCAATTCCGACCTGCAACTCAGGCTCAGCAGCAAGCACCGCGTAGTCCCCTTGATGAGAGATGTTGAAGTTGAAGTTGGGGTACGGGTTCGATGAGTCCTTTGCCAGAACTGGTTTTCCTTTTGCGGTTCTTTGCAAACGAATGTGATTCCAAGGAATATTCAACTTCTCTGCAACTAATTTCCTTATCATCAGACGACCAGCCTGTTACGGACACATATGTAAAATATCTGATAAATACTGATGTCTACTAAACATATGTGTGTGTGTGTGTGTGTGTGTGTGTATCTATATATATACATGGCTTATATTATATGAAATACATTTTTGTGCTTTCTAAAATTTTAGTCGTTTTTAAAGTACATCAGCATTAAATACAATACATTAAGATAAAGCAATTTTTTTTCCTGATTTTTGAGACAGCATCTTGCTGTAGTTCAGGCTGGCCTTGAACTCACTATATAGCCCAGGCTAGCCTTCAACTCACATCAGTCCTCCTGCCTCAGTTTCCTTCCTGCTTCAGCCTCCCCAGAGAGCTGGTACTATAGGCATGCGCCACCACACCCAGCTAAGATTGAGGAATTCTTAAGTAGAGTATAAGCTTAATAAACTTAAGTCTTTCTGAGCAATTTTCTCCCCTTAACCAATAGCCAATGTTAGTTTGGTTTTTTTTTTTTTTTTTTTCCTAGTACCGGGAATTGAACTCATGACCTTGCGCTTGCCAGGCAGGCACTGTGCCACTGAGCTAAATCCCCAGCCCCTTTTTTTGTTTGTTTGTTTGTTTTTGTTTTGTTTTTTTTTCCAATAGCCAATGTTAATAACAACCCTTTTCCCAGTTTTTAATTATTTAAAATACATACTTTTGCATATTTTTATTAATTCTCTTTATGGAAACTGACACGAAGTCATACAATGTGTAATACTTTATTACCTTTTTAATTTGTTTTGTTTTGCTTTTTAAGACAAGCTCTCACTACCTAGTTCAGACTGGCCTTGAACTCGCTATGCAGCCCAGGCTGGCCACGAACTCACACCTCCTGCCTCGCCCTCCTGAATGCTGGGATTCCAGGCGTGTGCCACCATATCCAGCTCTAAACTTTTTAATTTGCAAGTATCGGGGATTATTTTATATGTAACATCAGTCAGGTAGGTCTGCTTTTAACTGCAGCATACTAGTTCACAGTACTGAGGTACAAAAGGGCTGATAGTCCCCTATTACTGGACATTTTAGGCTACTTCTAGTTTTGCTGTTATAAAAAGTCCACAAGAAGCAGCCCTACTGTACCTGTGCATATATGCAAGTATTTCTAGATAGTGTATACTGATCGCCTGGCATCAATAATTAGCACAACCAATTTTGTTTCTTTCTTCCAGCTCCATTAATTATCCATTACTAAAAACAGAAAAATCTCCAAGGTTTGAATGGCTAGGTGCACTCTTAGAAAATTATACCTCGGGTTTTCTCTTCACCAATTCTTTTTTTTGCGGGGGGGCGGTACCGGGAATCGAACTCAAGACCTCACATTTGCCAGGCAGGCGCTGCGCCACTGAGCTAAATCCTCGGCCTGTTCATCAATTCTAACACTGACTTTTAAAAATTCCACGACTTCCACATTCACTCATTTCCCGATTTCTTACAATTATAAGTGGAAAAACATTCCAGTAGGCCTTCAAAAATGTATCAACTAACCCATCTTTCAAAAAGGACTACTTTTAAGCAATGATTTTAAAGTGATAGTGGAGGCTGTTTCACATCGCACTATATAATGAAAGTGTTTATTTTTAAATGCAATTCGCCATTAGTTGTTAGAAAACGCATAACTAAACCGCATGCATGTATTAAAAACAGTTTCCCAAGCGCTCCAGTCCGGAAGTCCAGGACTGCATCCTTCCTGCGCTTCGCTTTCTTTGATAACAGACAACCGGCCTAGGCCTCTCCCAGGGCCTCGGCCCGCAGGGACACAAGCTAAGTCACAGCGCCAGTATTTTCCGGGGCCTACCACGTGCACGGCACCCCTGGACAGTGGTGCGATATGTAAACGGCAGGTTAGGCCTGGGCTCGGAACCGGCAAAAAAGAAAACGCAATTTGGTAAAATTTAAATCTAAGAATACAAACGACCGTGCACCACGGGGAGAAAAACCTGTCACTCGGCAGGCCTTCCGCACTTTCACGATTTTGGAGGGCCTCTACTTGCAGCTGCACCGGGGAGGCGCTCGCAGTCCCGGCGATCGGCCTCCCGGGCCGTACAAAGGCGGCGCAGGCCCGCGATCGCGGCCCCCTCCCCCTGCACCCGCTTCCGGGGCTCCGACACCGAAGACCTCAGTACCATGGCTGCCTTCGCGTCCCGGGCGAAGACGAACTGGCCGATGCGCTCCTTCTCTTCCGGCTGGATCGATCGCACCGCCAGCAGCCATTCGGCTCGGCTCGGCAGCCAAGTGCCACAGGAAAAGGCCCAGCGCACGCCCTCCATGGATGGCACCGAGCAGAAGCGTTTGGCAGGCAAAACCATGCACACCGCGAGTTGATCTGCTGCCGATGGCGCGGACGCGACGTGGCCCCGCCCCCTTCTTGGTGGCGTCTGTGCGCAAGGGGCGGGGCGTTGCGCGACGGCGCGTGCACGTTGCCCCGCCCCAAAGGCGGTGGTCTTCTCTAGGAGCGAGCGGCCGGGGGCGGAGACCGGGACCGACCTCGGAGCTCTGCAGCATCGTGCGACGTCACGTGGGCGTGGCCCTGGCGCGGAGGGCGGGATCACAAGCAAGAGCCGGACCGTGGCGCCACTCACACTGGGAGAAGAGCTAACGGGACAGCGGTGCAAGCCAATCGCAGCCAGCGCTGCGGAGCCGGGCGCCTGGGGTGGAGACTACGGAGCCCGCAGTTGCAGGTGGGTGAGCTCCGCGGCTTGCGGGAGGAGTGGGATTGTAGCGCCTTATTCCTGAGGACGGGGCTTGGCTCCTCGGCCCGCGGAGAAGGGGCTGCCTCGGCGTTAGTGCGCGCTGTCGGTCTCGCCGTTCCGCGGGAGGAGCGGGTGCCGCGGCTGGAGGGGTGGGCTGGGGGCCCCGAGTTGCAAACACCCCTGTCGCGGCCCCCAGTCCGGCTTCAGCTACGACAGGCGAGCTCGCGATCGTCCCTGCGGCCCCTGGCAGCCGTGCCCCCGCGAGCTGCCTGCAAGCCGAGC